TTAGTTAGTAGTAACGTAACGAATAGTATATATATAGTATATATATATATATATATATATATATATATGAATGTATCTGTATTCGAGCCTACAACATTCGGAGGGCATGTTTGCAAACACATACATGCAAATATTCAATCTAGCCACACCTTTCATTCCACTATAGCATCAAGAATGAGACTGTTTTTCTATATGGGAGCGAAGATTGGATGGACAAGTCTGCAGCAGAGCAGGTGTCTCTGACCATGGACGTGCCCACACGTGTGCATGTCATATCGCAAGCTGGCCATAATCTGTTTGCTGATAACCACATAGAGTTTAATAGGTATGTTTAGTGTTGTACATTGATGTCAGGTGTATTTTGTCGAGAACTAGGTTTTAGACCTAAGGCAGGGGTAGATAAAGACTCGTCAACCTGTAATATGCGGCCTAAAGAGTGTACACATAGCTCTGGCTGGTCATGGCATATGTTTCTACTGGACTGTAGACCATTGTGTGGGTTCATATCACACCCGGGTCAGCCCAATACATATCTGATCCTTGACACTGGGGTTGAATATACACTCAGATTATTTAATATTCCATTCATGTTTATCTATCTGTAGAGTGCTAGTTGAGGAGATTCTGGGTACGAAATCCACCACAACGGCGCCGGTTAGCGAGAGGGCGTAGACGGTACTTTACGGCAGGAACTATATAAAGACAGAGGTGTCCCTTGCCCCTGGGAGTTATTCGATGAGTATCTCTTGAGAGATCCATCTGTGAGTACTGATGTACGAGCCCTCCGCCTCACCCTAGTATCGCAGTAAGTTGCTAGTAAGCAGTAGTGAATGCCCTAAGTTAGCCGCTGGGCAATGGTCAACGGCCGCGAGAACATCTGGAGATGTATTTACGTAGGGCTGGTTATATTATAGACGAGCACGATGGAAGATAAGTTATAAGGTCGAGTCAGACGCGGTACAGGTGCGGTCAATTTACACTCACACTTATGATATCTGAAGTGTGGGCTCCGAAAGTTGCGAAGGATTGTGTGTAAGGGAGTAGAATCGGATAAATATTAGATGCAGTTAATACCTAATAACGATAGTGTATTATGAACTAGGAGCGGCGCGCCTGAGTGGTTAACTGAGAAGTGTCTGCGAAGTATTAAAAGTATATTCGTATTTTTTTTCTGGCAATTATTTAATGTTGTTGTTCTATACGCAAATGCTACAGTCAACCTGAAACTGGAAATTCGTATCGTCTGACAACAGCTACGCATGAATAGAATTGGTTCATAATGCAACCTAGCATTGAAGTATCAATCCCAAGATATTAATACCAAATTCGTTGTTAGATTTTTAATGTGGGCCTACTGTACAATTTTAATACATATCACAGATAGACTTTGAAGTGGGATGAGAATCTATCTTGCTTACCGCTTCTCTGCACAAAGTCGTCGTGATCGTTACAGCATGATATTTTATCTCTAGGAATCGATAGTAACATCCAAAAAGGGTTTCAGTTTATAATTTTTCATTCTGTACAATTTTCATACATATCACAGCAGAAGTGGAATTAGAATATATCTTGCTTAGAATTGGAAGTCGGAATGCTTGTACACGTCAGATGACTGGGCATCCTTCTCGCAGTATGACTGGGTACACTTCTTCAAGTCGCCGCACTCACCAGACCACTGACAGCACTCCTTGTTCTTGTGGATGGGTCCCTTCAAGGCATCCGGGTTACGCTCACGTTTCTCGGCACAAGTGATCTTGTACTCATTCTTGCTGCTGCCAGAGCTGCCAGAGGCTTTGCAGAAACTCTCAGTGCACTTGGACAGATTTCCGCAGTTGCCGGAATACTCACAGCACACTTTGGACTCGTCGTATGATTCTCCAGTGAATCCTTTAATACCACATGTGATCTCCTGCTCGTATGAGTGGGCGCTGACGGCAACAGCAACGGCGGCAATAGTGGCGATGGTGGTGAACTTCATTTTGTAGAAAACTGTTTTTTTGAAAGATATAGTTGAATTGATAGATTATTTTAGAACATGCCAGGTTTTATACGACCTGGATCAATGAATCAATATAGATATATATATATATATCTCAATAGTTTTGTCTGTTGCCGGAGATGATTCGTTTTTAAAGTCTATAACCCGAGCATAGAGCCGAGACCTTGGGATTGGAGTGTGGAGTATGAGTATGTATCACATGCATTTCTAAACTTGCTGCCTGCCGTTGGCCTACTATGTACTACTAAAACTGAAAAAACTACGAGTTAGTCTGTGATTCTGTGCCTCTGAAGACTCATCCATTGATCATGTAACATTTTTATAATATTTTGAATATAAAAACTGCAGTTATAATAGGGGTATTTATATGCGAGCGGTACTCCAAAGTTAGAGCAGCTTGTGGCATATATTTAAAACAGTATGTCTGTCTTTACTCTTTAGTTCTGTCCGAAGTCCGAACCTCTCAGTCCTTACTCCTCAGAGAGACGAAACTTCAAAGGTGAGGACTAATGAGCAGGGGGGATTGCTGGATTGCAGGATTGGTGAATGAATGCCTGGATGGTGACTTGGAGTTGGTGAGTGATCAGTAATCACTAATCAGGAGTATCAGTGATCACTGATTCACTGTCCACTGATCTTTTGTTTTTGATATAAAAAATACACCACTTACTGTACTCAGTCAATACTCAATAGTGTAAATTACTAAATATGTACTACGTTTACAGCATGTATGTGTCAACTTAGAGTACTAACAATTTTTTACTATTAAAAGTACTTTACATATTGTTGTTTCTGTCATGGTCATGACTAGGACAGGCAGATTATTCTACTCGCCGGGTGGAAAGGGATGCGTGATTGAAGTTTTATGTCGGGGTTTTTTTTGCCTATGGTCTGATGAATGCGCAATCGTATTGTGAGAAAGAGGTCTAGACCTCTGATAAACACAATGAACACAATCTCTAGTTGTATTAAAAAGCCAAGGTAATATCGTATTCAATGTGGTACAGTACAAACACTCGAACTTATTATAAAGACAAAAATGGAGTTTATATAGATATGTCAGGACTTCTTGTTTTCTGCCAACTGAATGTGAGGAAGCGAATACAATACTAATAAATTCGAAATACTCGCGTAAAAACTAGCTGTGAAAATCTTGATTCACGTATCTGTCTTCGTGCGAACCATTTGCAGACAGCACTCCCAACTAACCTCCGCGCTCAGATGTGGTTGTATTCAAATATGCTACTGTTCTAGGCAGGAAGAGATACTTAATTGTATATATATTGTACTACCTCGTTGTCATATACAACTTGAAAAATTGCAAGAATATGATCTTTTTGAAATGAATAATGGATCTCGAATTGCGAATTAAAGATAAATTTGAACGTTCATTTTTAATGAATGGGACATACGTAGAGAACAATAGAAGAATACAAGGCTATTTCACCTGATAATCGATGCTTGAAATGTGTATGCGGTTTGAAACCTATGTGAAAATTCATAAAATTTATCTGGCACTTGATGTTTTATTAAATTATTTGTTTTACGTATAGGGACTACAAGAAGCATCTTAAAACTGGAAGTCCGAATTTTTGTAAACGTCAGACGAGTGAGCATCCTTCTCGCAGTATGACTGGGTGCACTTTTTCAAGTCGCCGCACTCACCAGACCACTGGCAGCACTCCTTGTTCTTGTGGATGGGACCTTTCAAGGCATCAAGGTTACGCTCACGCTTCTCGGCACAAGTGATCTTGTACTCGTTTTTGCTGCTGCCAGATTTGCCAGAGGCTTTGCAGAAACTCTCAGTGCACTTGGACAATTTTCCACAGTTGCCGGAATATTCGCAGCACACCTTGGACTCGTTGTACGATTTTCCAGTGAATCCTTTAATACCACAAGTGATCTCCTGCTCGTTTGAGTGGGCGCTGACGGCAACAGCAACGGCGGCAATAGTGACGATGGTTGAGAACTTCATTTTACTTTATTATACTTCTCGGTAGTAAACTGAAAGAAAAACAGGTCGCGTGTCAGCTTTTATATACGGCGATTCGGCGAAGACCCGATCGCCAAAAAAATCCACACACCCATTATATGGCATATGATTATGTACTGTAGTAGACTAAAGGACCGAATAGACAGCAATGTATCCCCAGACTGAATCACCCAAAAAGCGTATTTAGTGCTCCGCTTTTCGGCGTTCTTAGCATGTTTGTATATAACTCGCTCTGTATGAGAACAATAGAACATAGGGCTACATACCGATGTGGATTGTGGAAGCACACGGATTGTTATACAAAGTTAAATAAAATATGTACATATATTTTGTTTTAAAAAAACCCCTTCTGTCAATCACTCGTGCTTTAATATTTTTTACAAATAAATATTCTTCCTGTTGTAATTGTTTTAAGAAACTTGTATACTTTTAGAAAATACAAATTTGTTGCAATATTTATGCACATATTTACATACGGTCATACGGAAGAAGTGAATTGTTTTGTTATTTTTGTTTTCTTTTAACACAATGAACAACAAATCAGCTACATAGATCTGTTCTTTTTAGGAGGCTATGGAAAACAAGACTCAGGTTTCAGAGCTTCAGAGCTTCAGAGTGAGAGACTATACTCCAGTTCTCCCGATCTATTCTCTCTCAAACGTTGTAGTCCCAACTTCCCAAGTCCCAATCACAATCTTATACATACCTCATTGAGTTCCTAAATATTTTTGAAATTTGTTCCTCATTTGTTTATATATAAATTATTCATCAATCAGTAAAATCTGTGCATAAATATATATTTTTAAATAAAAATATCATTCTCACAACAAGATGTTTACTGTTACTTTACAACAAGAAATAAATCTACAGCTAAAAAAGGGCAATGACAATATCCTATATATAAACAGAGTTTATGTCGGCTAATATAGAAATATTCGACTCGTGAACCGCTACTCGTGATTCTTTACTCTTGAAAAGAAAAGATCGATCCACTCTTATAGCAATAAATATTAGCAAAAAAAGGTTTTTTTTAACTGAATATTTTTGAGTTCTTTTTTTTCAAGATTGAGGGAACCGAAAGACCGAATTCTTTGAAAGTCCAAAAAGCAGGACCGAAGTCCGAACCCCAAAAATAAAATATACTATATTTATTTTTTGATATAAATAGTGTGATCGATTTAAAAATACTGTATGTACGTACATTTGTAAAATACTGTACCCTATTTTTTGTTTTTGTATTGTTTTTAAAAACAATAAAACACTAAAAACCCATAAATAGCCTAAATCAAACAATAGAACCCGTTTTATTCTTTGCGAGAGTGATAAAAGAAGACAGAAGTTGAGAACAATTTGTCTTTGGCAAAATACTTGTTGGATTTTTATACTTTATTAATGTTAACAAAAAAATAAACCTTTTTTGTTTAAACAAATTTTTGAATTTTTATGCAAAAATATAATTTTTGGTTTGTTTCTGTTTTCTAAAAAATAGTAAAACCACTAAAAAATAGCCACTATTTACAGATAAAAATTGTCCTGTAACCTCCAGGTTCCAGCCAAGCTGGCGTAGTGGCGTGATTTTAAAGTCAAGTGGGCTATTTTATTTACCTCGTGTGCATGATTCTATATACAAACCAAAAAAATAGATATTCAAAGTCGGTGTGGCAATTTGCAGTATAAAAGCCATCTCAGTATCGGCATTGACTATCAGTTTATTATCGAGACACAATCAATACAGAATGAAGTTCTCAACCATCGTCACTATTGCCGCCGTTGCTGTTGCCGTCAGCGCCCACTCAAACGAGCAGGAGATCAAATGTGGTATTAAAGGATTCACTGGAAAATCATACGACGAGTCCAAAGTGTGCTGTGAGTATTCCGGCAACTGCGGAAATCTGTCCAAGTGCACTGAGAGTTTCTGCAAAGCCTCTGGCAGCTCTGGCAGCAGCAAGAATGAGTACAAGATCACTTGTGCCGAGAAACGTGAGCGTAACCCGGAAGCCTTGAAGGGACCCATCCACAAGAACAAGGAGTGCTGCCAGTGGTCTGGTGAGTGCGGCGACTTGAAGAAGTGTACCCAGTCATACTGCGAGAAGGATGCTCACTCGTCTGACGTTTACAAGAAATCGGACTTCCAATTTTAAGCAAAATATATTCTCTTCCCACTCCAGAGCCTGCCTGTTATATGTATGAAAATTGTACACTATGAAATTAAGAATCTGAAAAGCTTTTTGGGTATAAATATTCTTAGGATGTTCACCATCGATTGCTAGAGATGAATTATTATCGATTTATTTATGTGTTCAAACGCGTGGAAGAGCACTTGTGCAGAGAAGCGGGAGCGTGACTCTGATGCGTTGAAGGGTCCAATACGGTGTGTTGCCAGTGTTCTGGTGAGTGCGGTGACTTGAAAAGGTGCACTCCGTCATACATCGAGAAGATTGCCCGTTCATCAGATGTTTACAGGCGATCCAACTTCCAATTCTGAGTAACTTTCAGAAGTATGCAAACCAAACAGTATTTTTTAATAAATCACATTAAATCGCTTTCGTGGTTATTTTTTTTACATGTAGGACTCTGAGACACGAAGATTCGGACTGATTTTGTATTTATTCTGATTCTTTGCTACGATATTTTTGCAAGTATTTTTGAGCTTAAGAACTTGTCAAAGAGTATAGACAGGCTGTAGCACCGGCAAGATCAATTGTGCACAAGTGCCCGAGTCTAATTTCGATGCTACGAGGGGACTCAGTATCAAGAACAAGTATGGTGAGAGCTAGAAGAAGTGTATATGTAATTAGACTTATGGTTCTAAATGAACACACAATATCAACGTCTTGAGCAAATCTTCACAATTATGGAGTGTCTTATGCCTTGCGCTTACAATTAAAGGATGTGGAAATTTGTACGTCAAATTTCTCAATGGTTTAATGTCCGATGAAAACTGGGTGATATCTTACCAGTTTAGGCAAAGATGGTGTATCGGTTATAAATGTTCCACAAATCTATTGAAGAAAACAAAATATATCAGGTCAGGCAGACAGTCCTGTGCGAAGTGATCTTTTCGATATTTATTATTAATATAAGTATGGCGTATTCGAACGCACAAGATAAAGCATGTTTCTTTACCTGTGGAAGTGAAAAAAACACTGGAACATAGCCGTCAACATAACATAACACACGCCACTTGTAATCCATTTATAGTGGCTCGGCGTATACTCCCCGCTTTTTGACATTCGTCTTGCTCGCATTTTTCTCTTGCTCCTCGGATCGGTAGTAGTATCGGCGTCTCTGTGCGTTTGCCGGTATATGCGGGCGAATGAAGTCGACAACTTTCCATTGAGCTTGCCCGCCTTTAGCTAACAGCGGCCTTTCTAGGCGGATGGCACGTTGGTTCATGTGTACGTAATCGTTACGATGTAAGCGCCCAGATGCCTGCGAAAGCATGAATATCAGTTGTGATTAGGATATTGTCTGCATATCAGTAGCCACATGCGATTATACAGAACATAGCTCAGTTTATATTTTGCTTTCGCATACAACCATACGAAGGCAGCATGTCTTCCCTCGGCTGGTCAAAAGAATATGATTGGATATATAAGAGTACTTAGAACATCACACACTATTCTCCCAGTAAGCTTCTAGCGCCGTATATGTGTGATAAATATTGTTACATGTTCTGTTCTGTTGATTGTTATGTATCTCTCATTATGCATCACAATATTTTGCCTCACAACTGATATTTCAGTTCACTTCTCCAACGCAGTTGAAAGCCCATCTGGAAGGGATAGAAAAAGGCTGGTCTACAATAGAAATACGGAACGGAACACACGTTGATAATGGTCTCTTATAGTCCTCTATTTATCTTGATGTGAGACTCGGATATCAGTGAAAAATATTCATTCTTGAATATGCAACCACCACTCTCATATAATGGTATGGTATATATATATACATGCACACACACACACACACAC